ATGTCTTCTGTACATATTCTAATGGTTGTTTTTTTTACTGCTGAGTTTTATGAGTTCTTCATATATTATTCTAGATACTAGTCCTTTGATGGATATGTGCCTGACAAATATTTTCCCAGATTGTAGCTTGTCATTATATCCCCTTGATATGGGTTTTTGCAGAACAAAATTTTTTAATGTTGATGAGATCCAAGTCACTAGTTTTTCCTTTTATGAATCATGCTTTTGGTGTAAAACCTAAGACCTTTGAGCCCTTTGTTGAGTGGGAGCCATGAAAAGCAGACATCCTCACTTTTTTCCCAACCTTAGAATGCATTCATTGTTTCACATTAAATATAGTGTCAGCTTTAGGATTTTTGCAGATGCTCTTTATCAAGTTGAGGTAGTTCCCCTGTATTCCTATTTTCCTGAGAGTTATAATGAATGAGTGTTGCTTTTTGTCAAATATTATTCTGCCTCAATTTATATGATCACATAATTTTATTTTTTAAATAGGTTATTTAACCTATTAATAATCCATCAGTAGATGAATAAAGAAGAGGATATATATAAATGTGTGTGTAAAATTGAATATTATTCAGCCATAAAAAAAGAATGAAATCTTGCCATTTGTGACAACATAGATGGACCTAGAGTGTATTATGTTTAGTGAAAAATGTCAGAGAGAAAAAGACAAATACCATATGATTTCACTTATATGTGGAATCTAAAAAAACAAAATAGACAAACAAACAACAACAACAAAGAAACAGAAACAAACTCATAGATACAGAGAACATTTTGATGGCTGTCAAATGGGAGGGAGGTTGGGGGGATGGATAAAAAGGGGAAGGGATTAAGATGTACAAATTGCCATTTATAAAAACAGTCATGGGGATATAAAATACAGCATAAGGATGTAAAATACTGTATCATCAGTAATATTGCAATAACTATGTATGGTGTAAGATTGGTACTAGAATTATTTGGGTAAACTTTCATAAATTATACAATTGTCTAATCATCATGTTATATACCTAAAACTAATATAATATTATATGTCAACGGTGATTGAAAAATAAAAAAGTAATAAATTATTAATTCAATTTTCTTAACAGTGATAGGCTATTCTAATGATCTATTTCACATTGTGTGAGTTGTGGCAATTTGTGTTATGCAAATAATTTTTCCATTTTATCCAAGTTGTCACATTTATGTATGTACAGTTGTTTGTACTATTTCCTTGTTATCTTTTTGATGTCTGCAGGGTCTCTAGTGAGTGCCTCTCTTTCATTATTGATATTGGCAATTGGTGTCACCTCTTTTTATCTTAGTCAGTGTTTCTATAGGTTTATAAATTTTATTAGTCTTTTCAAAGAACCAGCTTTTGTTTCAGTTTTCTATGTTTTTCTGTTTTAAATTTCATTGATTTCTGCTCTTTATTATTTCCTCCCTTCTGCTTGCTTTGGGTTAATTTTTGTCTTTTTTTTCTAATTTCGTGACTGAGAGCTTAGATTATTGATTTGAGAACTTCACTCTTTTTTTTTTAATGAGAGGCTCTATGATACAAACACTTTAAAATTACTTCATTTAATTTTTTATAATTTAAATTTTAAAAACATTATTTGTACTGTGGCAAAATTGTATATATTTAAGATGCACAACTTAATGTTTTGATGCATATATACATTGTGAAATAATCTCCCCAATCAAGGTAATTAACATATCTATCGTCTCACATAGTTATTTTTTTTTTGTAATGAGACCACTTAAGATCTACCTTCTTAGTAAATTTCAAGTAGATTTTAATTTTCATTTTGATTTCTTCTTTGACCCATGGGTTACTTAGAATATTATTACTTAATTTCTAAATATTTTGGGATTTTCTTTTTAATATTTATCTATAGCTTCATTCCACTATGTTCAGAAAAATAATATTGTGTATAATTTTACTCATTTAAAATTTCTTAAACTTGCTTCATGTTTCATCACGTGGTAGATTTTAGTAGTGAGTTTATTTGTATATCTTACAATTTTTTATCGTTCTGTATTTTTTACATTTGATTAGGTCAAGTTTGCTTATTATGTTCTTTAAATATTGTATATCTCTGTCTTTCTTGTCAGTTTATTCTATTCAGTTACTGAGTTATGAGTTAACATCTTCCTTTATGATTGTAAATGTGTTTGTTTCTCCTTTTAGTTCTGTTATTTTATATATTATATATTTTGAAGCTAAGTTTCTAGATGTTTCACATTTAGAACTTATTCTTTCCTGGTGTATTGACTCTTTTATTATGATGAAACATCCTTCATTGTGGCGAATAACAGTTCTTGCCTTAAATCTACTTTACGAGAGATTTGTATAGCTTTAGCTGATTTCTTTTGGTTAGTGTTTGTAGAGTTTATCTTTTTTCAGCCTTTTACTTTCAACTTTCTGTATCCTCATTTTCATGGTGTGTTTCTTGTATGCAGAATTTACTTAGGTTTTGCTTTTTGATCCAGTGTGACTCTGTTTATCTGTTATTTGGAGAATAGTCTACTTACATTTAATGTAATTAATGATATTTTTAGTTTAAATCCATTTTAATGTTTATTTTCCATTTGTAATATCTGTCTTTCGGTTTTTTTCCCCCTCTTTCAACATATTACCAACTATTTTAAATTATTCTCCTTCCATTTTATTAGCTGAATGTCACATTTTTTTATTATGTTTTTGGTGACTATTCTAGGAATTACAACATGCACACTTGCTTTATTAGAGTCTAATGTAAATTAGCTCCTTTTGACAAATTTTTAATTAAAGTAACTTAGAATACTTTTTTCATTTATCACATTCATCTCTCTCTCTTTTTTTTTAATTGGGTAACAGTGTGTTTTTTCCAGGACCCATCAGCTCCAAGTCAAGTGATTGTCCTTCAATCTAGTTGTGGAGGGCACAGCTCAGCTCCCAACCCTAGTGGCTGTTTTCAACTAGTTGCAGGGGGCGCAGCCCACTATCCCATGTGGAAATCAAACCCACAACCTTGTTGTTAAGAGAACGTCCTCTAACCAAGTGAGCCATCCGGCCACCCACCGACAGCTCAGCGGCAGCTCAGCTCAAGCCGTTTTCTTTAATCTAATGTGGAGGGCGCAGCTCACTGGCCCATGTGGGAATCAAAATGGCAAGCTGTTCAGAGCACACGCTCTAACCAACTGAGCTAACTGCTGCCCCACATTCATCTTTTCTTCAAGTATTTTAATTTTTCATTTTTGTCAAATCCCAAAAGTAGATGTTGTTGTTATTATTATTATTTTCCAACAGCCAATATTTATTTAGATATTTATTGTTTTATTTAGTGCAGTTCTGCTGGTGATACATTCTCTCAGTGTTATTCACCTGAAAACGTTTTAGTTTGTTTTATTTTTGAAGGATGTTTTCAGTGGGTGGAGAATTTGAGTTTGACAGTTATTTTCTTTCAGGACATGAAAATGTTTCACTGTCTTCTGGCCTCTACCTTTCTTATTGTTCCTTCCTTAAAGATAATATGACTTTTTCTCTGCATTTTTTTCTTTGTCTTTTGCTTTTACAGTTTTACTATGTTGGGCTTTATATGATTTTCTTAGTATTTTCCTTGTTTTAGGTTTGCAAAATCTGTCAAATCTGTGGCTGATGCCTTTCATCCATTTCAGAAAATTCTCATTAATTTTTCATATTGCTTCTGATTCATTCATTCTTTCCTCCCCTTTTGAGACTTCAATTCCACATATGCTAGATGCTTTCTCCATATTATACATGAATCTAATTCTCTCCATCTTTTTAATATTTTCCATACTTTATCTCATTAAACCTTAGCAAGAATATTTATTCAAGTTCATTCATCCTCTGTTCAGTTGTGTTTACCTTGTTCTTAAACTCACCCATAAAGTTTCTCATTTCAATTAAATTTTTTTTACAGATTTATAATTTTTATTTGGTAATTTTTCAAAGATTCCATGTCTCTTGCAAAATTCTTCATGTTGCATTTTTATACCAAGTAACTTGCATTATTTTAAGGTCCTTGTCTGATAACTAATATCTGGATACATGTGGGTATGTTTTTATTGTTTATTTTTCTATTGGTCCTTTTCATGGGCACATCTAGTAATTTCTGCTTGACTGCCGAACATTTGGTATGGAAACCCTGAATTAGAGGCTTAGATGATCCTCCTTCAGAGAGGACTCATTTTATCTTTTGACATGTATTTACAGTAGCAGTAATCACCATAATGTATTCATACACCTGATTGTTTCCAGTCTACCCTAATCCCAATGCTGTAGCCCTTCAGAGATCCCACTTTAAAGCCTAATTCCTGTTGGTTTCTACAAACCAAGGTTGCTAGAAGCTTTACTTCTCAGCCTCTCAGCCCTACACTGTTTATGAATTGACAACTGATTAAAGGGGAACATCAGTGCAGAAAGCTGGCCTTATTTCTCTTTATTGTCCTATTTCTGGGCTCCTGGTCCCTTATGTTCTGGATGACTTGGTAAGCCTGAACTCCAATTTTTGTCTCCTTAGCCACCTGAAACCTCCAAAAGCTCTGCTAAGCTTCTCTGCTTCTTAGCCACAATTTCCTGTTTAGCTTCTCAGCCTCTTGTGCTACTTGCAAACTTGGAAATATCTCAAGGGAAAATAAACGAAACACAGATATTGAGCATTGGGCACATCTCAGTGAGTTTTCTTTTTTTCCAAGATCTTGGCTCTCTTCATAACTCACTGTTGTCTTAAAGAAGACTGTTCAAATTTAGGCTTTCTAGTTTTTCTTGGGAGGAAGATTTATCTGCTACAAGCTGGCTCATGATAGCTGGAAGTGGAAGTAACCCACAAACATGTATGTCTGCATGTGAATATATCAGTATAGGTGAAGTCTTTACTCATGAGGTCGTGACTGATTTGACCAACAAATCCTGTAAGTGTTATTTCTCTTGGTAATTGGTCAGAGTAGAGAAGTTCCTATAAAATCACAACTATCATTAACTGTGACTTGTTTTCTCTCTTCTCTAGGATTTTGTGTCATGTATTGAGAACTACCGAAGAAGAGGACAGGAGCTCTATGCATCTTTATACAAAGATCATGTACAGGTAAAGAAACAAAACAGTTTCTGTCTCTACACAGTAGACTAAAATCTACCTTGACTCTGAAAGAAAGAATCAGAAGGGCCTTTGGGTTAAGTCATAGACTGCTTACGTCAGTAATTAGTCATCAATGACTCAGTCCCACTTGCATGGCCTGTGCAGTGGGGTCTGAATCCCCCTGGAAGCAACTGAGGAGGTTAGCAATGTGTCCCTCCACTCATCTCCTCAGGGTGTCTCAGGCATTTGCTAGGAGCTAGGGACACAACTGTAAACACAGCAGACATGCACTTCATTCTCAGGTCGCATCACCGTAAAGGAAAAACATACGTTGAATAACTGCACAGATAAATAGATCATTATAACTTGCAATGAGAAATAGACATGGGAAATATAGGTACAAAGAGAAATTATAACAAGGGAAATAATTTAATCTGGGCAGATGGGAGGTCCTCTCTAAGGAAGTGACATTAAAGTTGAAATCTGAAGAAGGAGGAATATGGGCTAACATACTTTGAGGAAGTGTTTTCAGCTCAGGGGAGGGCACGTGTGAAGGTCCTGAGTCAGCAAAGGGCTGGGTGTCATCAATTAACTGGAAGAAGAAGTGACTGAATAAGCTGGGAAGGGACGAGGGTGAAGATGAGGCAGGGCTGGAGCAGGCAGGGCTTGTCACCACATTAGGGCTTTTGCATTTTATCCTCAGTGCAATAGGTTGCCACTGATGAGGGCAGGTTTAAATATTTAAAACACCTCTCTAGCACGATTTGTGTGCATTCTAGGTAAAGAGCACTGGCTGTCGTGCCAGTGAGATCTCTGTTTGAATCTTAGGTCTGCCCCTTCCTAGGCCTGCAGTCTGAGCATCAGAGTCCCGGTCTTTAAGGCAGGATAATACCTCTGAACAATGAAGGTTAAAGAATAAGCATAAATTGCCTAGACAGTGGCTGGCAGGGAATAAATGTCCCATATATGGTTATAGAATGGCTAAGAAGTTATCTTTTGTTGGTTTTGTTGTAAACAAAACTTAAGAAACCATGATTGCTAATAATGGAACACAGCATATAGTATTTGAACCTTACTAATTATATTATTTACTTTATAATTTCTCTGTTCCAAGGTCTGTGCCAGGAATTAGGAAAGTCAGAGACTATAATGGCACTGCTTGGCCTTGCAGGATCTTAAAACTCAGTAGACAGACCAAGATAAACCATACACAGGGTGATGAGGCCAATACTTTGATGCTCTACTATGAGGAGAGGAACAGTGGGATATATGAAACCATTAACTGTATTGAGGTAGGGTGAGGTGTCAAGGAATGGTGAAAACAGTGGTACACTAGGGCAGGGAAAGCAAAACAGGCTCTGATCAACTTAAACCACAGAACCTGGTCTTATCCCCTCCATCTGAGTTCATTTGGGAGTCCATAAAATGCCTCAGGAGTAAGGGTTTGTGATCCATGCAGCCTGCATCCCAGAAACACACAGTCTAGCAACATGCTCCCAGGCTATCTTACGAAGAAGCAGTTTATCAGACATGGCAGGGGTGGGAGAGGAGTTTTGGGGGTGGGAACTTCATGTGGGAAGGACAGAGCCTCAGCAGAAGCTCTGAGCCCAGAAAGAAAAGATTCAGCCTTCTAGAAGGTGGCCTGGCTCATTTTTAGCTGCTGGCCTGACTGGGGTTCAGAGAGCACTTGAGAAAGTTGTACAGAGTTTTAATGTTGATTAAAGCATATTTGAGAAAATCAGCATTCTGAGGCTAATCCATAGGATACTTTCCAAGTGTTTAAATATTTAAGATAGATTGTTTCAATGTTTAAAGGAATGCAGAGGTAATCACTGTCTGCCAGAGATAATGGGGTCTGGAGCAATCACCCTGTTTTTTAAGGGGCAATAAACTTTCCCAGTGCAGGTCCCCCTCCACTTTCAGAAAAGTCAAGTTTAAATTCTGGGAAGAAATCAGGCTTGTGAAGCCTGCCACATTCTTCAAGGACCGCTTCTCCCATGTGCACTGAATGAAGTCCTCCCAAGAGGGTGGCAAAAATGAGATTCAAGGGCCCCAGCCCTAGGGCTCTCAGTCATTGGCCATGTAAGACTGCTTTAACTTGGCATTTTACACACAGCTAAGAAGTTGCTGGGGATGGCAGGATCCCACAGCATGATAAGATAACATGATTATGCCCCAGTGCCCTGGCAGTTAACCTAAACATCATTATGTCCCATCACTGTGTCACCAGCAAACTGGGCAATTCTGATATTTCATCTCCCAAATTTCTCATCACTGTAGCAGTACTGGCGAAAACAGCGGCCTGCACCTTGGCCTGCCCAGGTTCCCCTTTGCTTTTTCCAAATTACGTTTGTTCTCTTCTCTGTGGTCCAGAACTCTGGTTCTACTCTGTTATATACCCTGGCCATCCTGCTCTTACATCAAGTCCTCTTCGTAATTTACAGAAATGCCTCTTTCTGCCAATGCTGTTTTAAAAACATCACATCTTTACTGGTTAAATCTCTTTGCTAGATGCCCAGCACCTCAGAAATGGTCTTTCTTTTAGAATGTGAAGGGCACTGTTTTATCTCTCTTCTGGGCCCTGCAGAGGCCAACAGGCCAATGCCATTTCTCGCTCAGTGTTTGTATGTCCATTAAGGTCTGCCACAGCTCTTCAGATGCAAGTATCAGAATCTCAACTCAAACTGGCTTAGGCAACAAATGAAATGTTTTGTGCTATTGAAAAATCCACGGGCAGAGTAGGCTTCAGGAAGAGTTAGATCTAGATGTTCAAACTCTGCTCTAAGGAATCTGTCTCCTCTCTCTCTTACACATACACAGACACAGTCTCTCTCTCTCTCTCTCTCTCTCTCTCTCTCTCTCTCTCTCTCTCTCTCTCTCTCTCATAAACATACACAATGTATGAGGTTACTAATATGTTTGAGCTTTGAGGCACCAGAGCACAAGGATGAGAGAGCAAGTGAGGCTGGAAGGAATTCATGTTCTGCTCCTCAGGCTGTACTTCCTAGAACAAGGCAGGACTCATGCAAAGGATGGGGAACATTTCTAAGTTGGACAAAGGCACTGTCTCCATGTTGAGCTGCCAGCCTGTAGGTTGTATCTGCCTGAGAGGGCACTTCTCCTGATGCACATAAAGATGTCCTGGGACTGGGGTGGTTGGCCCTGAATGTGTATCTTTACATCCACCTCTGCACTGTCCACTCTGGATGGGCTCCAGAGAGCACCAGTGCCAACCCTGGGGAATGATGATCACCAATCCATCTTATAACCATTCACCATCACTCAGATTCCCCAGACTTGGGTGACATGCGCAACTCTGAAGCCAGGGTTGGACTCAGCCCCACCAAAGCACCAGAGACTGAAAGTAGGGAAGGTTGCCCAGAGGAAAATCTCAGTGATGTTATCCAGGAGTTTCCATTCAGCTGCAAATCATAGCTGCCTCTAACATACCAGAACCCCTGCTTCTGAGTCTCTGGGGTGGCATTTGAGCTGAAAGAGGACCTTATATTGTGAATAAACATGGATATGACAGAGAATCTTGAAGGTGTGGAGACTCAGAGCTTTTGCTATTTAGTTGTCTCATGTCCTCTGTTTTGGGACTACATGTAGCTTTCTTTCATGGAGTAACAATTATTCCTCTCTGAGGGGTTTCACCACTGACACACATCTGTGTGGCTGCAGATATTCAAGACAACCCACTTGCCCTGTGATGAAGACTCAGGCAGCCATGCACCACCATTGTCTGACTGGAGCATTGGGGTGGAAGATGCTCTTACAACACTAATTTGAAGCCCAGGATGGACAAGCCAATAGCATGGGATTGTTCATCCTCTATAAAGCTCAGTATGTTACTGGAAACACAGCAAACATTTCTAGGGAGCTGAAATATTTTCCCCAAAAAGTGTTCATTTTATATAACCAAATACCTGTAAAAGGCTTTAGACAGTCATTATTTTTTCTGGAGCTCCTTATTGACCAATTGGAGTATTGGATATGAATTTAAAAACTGTGGAGAAACAAAATAATCTTGTTTTGAAATAGGATTGGTTTTATTCACAATAATACTAACTGCATAAGCTGGGTAAGGCACCATATAAAACTCTTGAAAATATTGCCTCATTTAATCCTTACATAAACCCATGGTTTTATTATTCTGATAATATTATTAACCAGATTTGGTGGATGAGTAAGCTGAAGCTCCTTCAGATTAAACAGCTAGTGGACAGCAGAAATATGACAACCCAGTTTCATCTGACGCCAAAGATCTTGTGCTAGCCACTATATTTTCTGTTATATTTTCATGGGAATTTTCAAGTTCACAGAATGATTTACCTATTGCAAATGGCTCAGACTTGCTAAGTTTGCCAGTCTTTGAAGTAATACTGGCAGAAACCATGAGTTAATAAAATGATACTAGGCCCCCAGGAAAGGAATCTAGCCCTCAGCTTAAGCAAACACTTTGGAGTCAGACAGATGGGGCTTAAACATCAGCTTGGTCACCTGGTGGTCCTTGGAGAAGTCGCTTCTCTCCTAGACTTGGTGTCTTTATGAGGATAATAGAAATTGCTTACAAGTTTTTCACTCATACAGCCACTGCGTAGAAGGAATGAGATGAGATACAGTAGATGAGGGGCTGAGCTTAATGCATGATAATGAGCCTCTTTCCTTTTTATGTGAAGTTTATGAGACCGGTGTTTCTTGTTTCACCTTTCAGTTTCTGAAAAATTAAAATTTATGAAAAATACCATCAAATATTTGCCTAATTGCAAAAGTTCACCCTGCAGGCAAAGTTTATTCTACTGCCCAAACTGAATTGAAATGTTTCCTTGACAGGTGGTATTCAGAACTTGAATGTGGCATGCAAAAGCAGTTTAGGGGTGTTGATGTATTCTATAAAAGGTTTGAGTTTTATTCTAGTGGAAGGTATAATAGTTAAGTACCACATACACAAACTATGAGGGTTTCATAGATAATAGGTGGGGTTATTTTCATTCATATCAAAGGTTTTAGCTTTTGCGAACATTCTAGAACCCTTGAACATTGTAGAATCATATGATATCAGGATTTGAAAGACTCTTAGACAGTATCTAGGCCAAACCTCTGATTTAACCCTTGGAGAATCTGAGGAGCAGTGACAGGAGTAACTTGCTCAAATCAACCCACTGCTGGCTAATCTGCCAATTGCTGCCACGCTGCCAGTCCAGACGACTGGAAGAAGTATTTCCAGCCTCATTTTTCAAGGGTGGGGTATTGGTGAAATTCTGTATCCATTTTATAGAATAGCAACCCAGTCCACTCTGATGATTAACATCAGGACTTTTGGGACCTGTTGCTCTCTGCCCAACACCCAGTAGTCATGTGCCTCTGAATTCCAAAGTGTGGTTTGTTTTTTTCTCCCCCCATCCTGGACTAAATGGTCTCAAAACTAAGAACCTGATTTCTTCTCTGGGCCAGGTCTTGGCTCCAGAGAGTACACTCCATTCTCTGAGTGTGCTCAGGGATGCCTATACGGAGCTATTTTTCTCAGGCAATTATGGGGGCTTTGGTCTGTTCACCCCTGGAGCTTTGGGGCCTGGCTCGTGAGAAAAATGTCCAGGAGTGACACTGTACTTCTGCTTCCCAGAGGTGGAGATGTGGTAACATCAAGGCAGCCAAAGCCTGGGCCAGGATCCAGGAGCAGCTTTTTGGGGAGCTGGGCTTATGGGGCCACATGGCAGAAGCCACACCTTGTTCCCGGTGGGAACTGGACTGGAGAGAAGGACCCGCCCGTATGAGGAAACGCATCAGGCGCTTTTCTCCGCTGGAGGCCCTGAGCGCACAAAGGCTCAAGGTAAGAGTTTGATGCAGCAAGACAACAATGCTTCGATGTAGGAAATGTAGCTGTTCCATTTCACGTTGTTTTCATCAGGACTCTGCCTGGTGTGCTTCAGGAGAGCTTTGACAAGGGCAGGTAGGAGAAAAAAATCTATGTAGCTAAAGGCAGGAGTGCTCTAATTTATTCTTGATGCTGTTTAACAGAAGAAAAGAATCGCTAACCCTCCCAGGTAACAGAAGGAATGCTGTAACTACAGCCTGAATGAATGAATAAATGAGTGAGTGGTTCATATCTACACCAGTGACCCAGACCACACTGACATCCACAAAAGTCCAGTAGAATAATCTGGATGCCAGTGTTGGGAAAGAGCCATGCGATAGCCATTGTCTGCTTACACAAATCATTTGTCATGGAGCAGTCCTGACTACACTGCCATGGGCATTATTACACAAGCAAATCCCATAACACGTTTTACAATAGAAATACCTTGAACTCAGCTATTTCTGCAAGCTTGAGCCGGTGACCCACTTAGTCCAAATGACATTGAAGCTATACTGGATCCTCAAACAATGGAATCTGGGCAGACCCTGGGGGTTTGTTGTAATGAAGCTTGAACTCTGTGTCATCAAACTTACATTTTTGCCTTTTAAAGGATGGAGAACCAGCGGGATTGGTCGTGGATATAGAAAAACATCTGTTAATAGTTTTTCATTTCCTCATTGAACAATCCTGATTTAAGAAATTCTAAAAGGCACCCATCAAAACACAAATGCAAGACAATGTTGGGTTTCCTTTTAGTCTGCAACCTCAGAATCTTACATCTATGTTAAGCTCTTTATAAAACATAATAAAAAATTATATTTCATTTATTCAGTAGACACCTGAATTTTTAATGTATTGTCTATAATAAACATCTGATGGTACATAGTATTTTTCCCTCAATAAATTTCCTAGAAAATAGGCAGGAAAGATAAGTAGCCTGAATACTGAGTGGGTGACAAAGCCAAAGGTGAGCTATGAAACCAGGTTTCTGGTCCCTTATCTCCTCTCCAGGGTGGCCCATACCACAGACATCCAGGATACTATCTAATCCCATTCTGTCATCATCTTTGGTAATTACTGTAAACCCTACTTAATGGAAGATTGTGGGTTTTTTCCCCTTTGACTCAGAAACATTAATACTTGCATTTTATTGTGGTCCTTTAAGGTTTAGCATTTTTCTCCTCTTGCATCTGAGTCTTGAGTATGTGAGTAATTTGAAGGACTCACATGCAGGTGTGTGTGTTTGTGAATCTGTGCAATGAAGGGGTGCATATAGGTGGTATTCAGGACTTAATTTCTCTTTTCTCTGGTTTTATTTCAGGAAAGCCAAGACAGAAATGGTGATAGTTCTCAAACAAATGTTGAAAGCCAAGGTATTCAGTTTATCAGCTTATCTTGGTTTTAATTAATATCTTCTTAAAGATTTGCAATTAATACAGAGGGTGCCAAAAATGTATACATGTTTTAAGACAGAAAAACTGTATTAAAATTGTAATATTCAATATATACCAATAACAGAAGATGAATACAAGTCACTTTTGACTTATGCAATTACATCCAGACCATCTGATTATGGCAAACTACTGCTTGAGCAACGTTGACCACAGTGTCCACTTGTATACATTTTTTTGGCACCTCTGGTATTCTGGAGGAAGAGAATCCTGCAAGTCTAGAGGAAGGGGTGCTAAGATGCTTCATTACTGTGCTCCCCAGAATGAAGAGGAACCTACTTCAGACCCCAGCACTCCCTCAGGGGGAGAATTTTATATTAACATTGCAACAATAAATTTTTTTTCAGGGGAACCATCTTGTCAATTTGATGTATCAGGGAAACCTTAAAAGTGCCCCCAGACAGTACAAATACATGTTCAGTATGTGACCCAAAACACATAGGAGGAAAATAACAGAATGTTTTAGAGTAAAAATGGATAGAATCGATATTTAATGCTACTGTTTACACTGAACTATCTGATTATGAAAATGACAGATAAAAAAAATAGTCATTATTACAGTAGTCCCCTTTTATTTATGGGAGATACTTTCCAAGATCGCCAGTGGATACCTGAAACCATGATAGTACCAACCCTATATATGTTATGCCTGTTCCTATATGTATACACATTTTCGCTTAAAGAAATTACTTTATGGCTTCTCTTTGGCATATCCAAATTGTCAGCTTCACTACTCTCCTTCTTTGGGGCTGTTATTAAGTAAAACAGGGATGACTTGAACACAAGTAGTGTGACACCGTGACAGTCATCTGGTAACAGAGGTGGCTACTAATGGGCGGGTAGCATATACAGTGTGGAGATGTTGGACAAAGGGATGATTCACGTCCTGGGCAGGATGGAGAGGGATGGCTCAAGATTTCATCACGTTACTCAGAACGACACACAATTTAAAATTTATGAATTGTTTATTTCTGAATTTTCCATTTAATATTTACGGACTGCAATTGATTGCAGGTAATTGAAACTGTGGAAAGCAAAACCACAGATAAGGGGTGACTACTGATTTCCCAAACTAAAAACGTATATATACTTTGAATTATTTTTTACATTTATTTTTCCTCTTTATTTGTATAATTTTCATGGAGGAATTTGATTCAGTCAATTTGTTGAAATCCAGGCTTTATTTTCAGAGGTCACTCTGGCGTGAACACATTGAAACACACACACAAATACACACACACAGACACACAGAGACATACACACTATATTTCAGATTCTGTGTGTCTCTACCAGACTCTGTCTTTTGCTTCAGACACTCCCTATCTATGAGATTCATTGTGTCCTAGGCTGCAGCTAGTATCATGTCCTTAACCAGATGATAACTTCTTAGCACTGATCCTCTTGTCTCATTTAGTGGCTTAGTACTGGATTTTCCATTGAGCTGACTATAGTGCCAGTCTGTAGTATTGCCCAGAAGTGAGGACCCTGGGCTCTGGCCCCAGGTTGATTTAGGGGTCCCACTGTGGCACAGGACTTGGGATACCCATTTCTTTCTCTTCTCTCCACTTAGAGCCCCACAACTCTAAGATCAGAATAATGGTCTACCTGCCCTCTCTTAGAGGGGGAGGCTGCAGAGATGGGAAGTGTGTGCTGATTTTATTGGACTATGTCCATGGGCTGCTGAGTCTGCTGGCCCCAGTTAGAGACCCTCCCCCCCTACAGTAGGGAGCTCAACCAGGGGAGAAGAAAGGGCCCATGGGTCTCCACCATGCCTTCCTGGGTGCCTGAAATTAATAGCATTCTTCCTGCATGGGGAAAGCCAGGGAGAGCTGCTGCTGTGAGCAGCAGACACTTTCATTTACCCAGATGTGAGGGTCCCGGGGGGAGGAGGTCAAAGCAGTGAGCATCTTGGCATAAAAAAAGAGCCGGTAACCCTTGGCCTTTGAAGTCATGTGCAGTGGGCCTGCTCCAGGCAGGTGAGCACCCAGGACAGGGTGGAGGAACAGGATCTAGAAATCCATGTAGGTATGTGCTTAGCTGACAACAAATGTCCATGCCCAGGAGTGTATCCTTAGGAAATAAGTGTAGGTGTATAGCACAGTGCACTCATGGGAGTACAAAATAGAAACTACTGTACCTTCAAAAAGCATGAGGGGGTTTAGGTGATTATGAAAGAGCCACACAATAGAATATTGTTTTCAAAGAACTTTCAATGGGATGGGAAAGTGCTCATTATATAATCTTGAATAAAATATATACTGGGGGTGCTAAAAAAATGTATACAAGTGGACACTTTGGTCAACATTGCTAAAGCAGTAGTTTGCCATAATCAGAAATGTCTGGACACTGATGGTAACCACTTTGAGCACCTCTTGTAATTGCAGAAGTCAAACGTGACTTGTACTCATATTTTGTTATCGATATATATTGAGCATTATAATTTCAATAGTTTTTTTCCTTTCTTATTATAAAATGTGTATACATTTTTTGGCTATATATATTTATATATATTTATATGTGTATAAATACACACACACACACACACACACACACACACACAGCCAGGCCTGGTCACACATTCCCGAGGGAATCAACCTGAGGTTATGTTGACCATGCCACAGGGTCAGAGGGCATTATGTTCACTTTTAGAAAGAATGAGAAACACACAGAGATGCACACTATTCACGTCTGCCCTGAAACCTTGCATTTCCTCTCAGCAACTCAGGCCCAGACTGCACACCACCCCTTGTGATGTCAGGTGGCTCATGCCTAAACCACGTGTCCCTTTATGCCGCTGCAGATAAGCCCACACCAAGGGAAGCTGACAGTGAGGGGGATGATCTGGTGGCAGTGGACTGCACCCAGCTGACCTTTTTCCCTGCCTTACACGAAAGTCAGCACTCTGAAGACTTCTTGGAACTGTGTCGGGAAAGACAAGTGATTTTACAAGAGTTTCTTGATCATGAAAAGGTAATGCAGCCCATTCTGATTATTCTTTCAAAAGGATCAGACATGAGAGAACTAAGCTTTCTTCACTCACATGGGAGGTGATTAGCTCCCTTCACTGTAAAAATCAACAAGCAAAAAGAATGGTCATGCTCCGGAATTTGTGTACTCAGAGCAGGCTTGCAAATGGAACCCACAAGTCCTGCATCAAAATATTTGTTTAAAAGTCATAAATCAAGCTAATAAACTGTTAAGCGAAATATGCTCTAACTTCCTACGTTAACCTGTATTAATACCTGGGGAGCCAGTCTCAAATTGAGAATTTTTGACCTTGTAGTTCAGCACGTTGGTCCCTGCCTGTAGCCTGACTGCCCTGAAGGAAACATCCCACATCTTGAGAGGCCCTGGTGGATGTGTTTGGACCTCCCAACCCTATGTCCAAGCTGTCCCCACATTCCTCACCCCTCAGGCCTCAGGGTAAGCACATTTGGGTCAGCCCTCAGAAGGGTGACCTTGATAATGAAGTGTGCACAGGCCAGGAGGCAGGCTGGGACAGTTAGCAGGGCCGTCCACAGTCTTCTTGGTATGACTGCAAGTGGGCCGAGGGGACTCCCTAAAGTGTGGGCCTTGGGAGGGCCCCTCTTACCCAAGTCTAGGAAAGGTATGGAAGGTGAAGCGTATGTCCTAGAGTAGAACAGACCTGAGTTTGAATCCCAACTTAGCTACATGCTAAATGGCATGCCACCTAACCTTTGAAAGCCCCAGTTCTGATTTTTAGTGTGGAATGTATTGCAACCATGTCATAAGGTTCTTAGAAGGTTTAAAAAATGGAGTAATGGGAGCAAAGAGAGTAGCTCAGAGCTGGGCACATATGAAGTGGCTCAGCAAAACTCTCTTCTCTTTGCAAAGGTTAAGAGGTATAAGGATTGGGTGGACCTCAGGGTCTTCTCTATCAACAATTATTCAGCCCAAAGTGTCTACCGTGCCAAGGTGAGACACCCTGACATGAAGGATGCACGTTAAACAGATCTCAGGTGTCAGCCATTTCTTCCTACTGTCCTGACAGGGTCAGGAAATGTTGGGCTATTTGTTGTCTCCATATTGGTTCTTTTCATGGTTTTGATAAAAAGAGATTATCTCTTCTTGGTAGTGCTTTGGTTTAATTTGGCATGCTAATTTTCTATTGCTGCCATAACAAATTACCATAAATATAGTAACTTAATACTACATATATCGATTATGTCAAAAGTCTGAGCATGACATGTATCAGCTTGTTCTCTGCTTTTTGTCTGGCAGGGCTGAAACCAAGGTGTTGGCAGGGCTGCATTTGTTTCTAGAGGCTCTGGGAGTGAATTTGTTTCCACTCTCATTCAGGTATTGGCAGAATTCAGTTCCATGCTTCTGTAGAACTGAGGCCCCCGTTTCTTTGCTGGCTGCCAGCCAGGGGTCATTTTTAGCTTCTAGAGGCTCCCACATCCCTTGCCTTGCGGACTCCTCCCTCTATCTTTAAAGCCGGCTATAGCAGGTCAAGTCCTTCTTACCCTTCAGATCTCTCTGACCCCCTTCTGTCTCACCTCCCCTCTGACTCACTCTTCCACAGCATTTTCCCCACCAACTCTTTTCCCTTCCTCCTCTGATTTTAAGGGTTTGTGGGATCACATTGGATAATCCACGATAATCTCCCTATTTTAAAACCCTTTGATTCATAACCTTGATTTCATCTGCAAAGTCCTTTTAAGCAGTGCCTGGGTTAGCATTTGATGGGGTAACCAGGGACAGGGCTCTTGGGACATCTTTGGAATATTGCCTGTCACATTTGGTCACATATGGACACTCAGTGTCCATATCCCACATCCTCTTCCACGTCCTTCTTCCTTGGAAGAAGCTCTTCCAAGGAGAGCTTCTGCATATGGCTCTGTTTCCACGTGCTTCCCAAGGCTTGCCTGGTGGTTCCAGCCCTGACTGGGCTGAGCTATGATCACAGCCAAGAGCTAGCCCCAGCCCTGATCTGTGTAGCAGGCAGATGCCCTTTGTACTTGTGCTGGTCTCTGACAGTCTTATTTTTGCTGCGTGTCCCACCCAATGACATTTCCATCAAGGGTCTTGTTGGGGGAGCAGGAAGCCCACAGGTGACTGACTTTTCCAGCTCCTGAGAGAGAGGACAGGACAGGAAAAGGTACTTCATCTTTAGTCTTTCTGGGTCTCCATGTCACACTGGAAACTGTCAGAAGCGCCACACAATGGTTTGTTGTGGTAGCAGGGATAATCAGGCTGTGCAGACAGGATTAACAGAACCCAGCAGGGGCCGACAACAAGAACTGTCCTGTTTCCACTTAACATTTGGCATTGCCTGCTAGAAGGGGCGAGCCCAGGGCAGGGGACCCAAGTGAGTGAGACTGAGCAGCTGACAGAGCAAGGTGATTCTTTCCGTTGTCTGGGCATTAACTCTTTTCATGAGTTGTTTTCATTCCTTTTGTTCTTGTTACCTCTGGTTTCTTGGTAAATTGTGGGAGAGATTTCCTGATTCAGCCTGAGTTCCACCAGGGTCAGAGGGATCAAACCACCAGACACACCTGCTCTCTGGAGAAGTAGGTCTGGAAGGAGAGGGGGGGGGGGGGGAGGCAGGCTGCCTGGGTGTGGAGTGGGCTGATGCCACTGGCAGAGCCTTGTACAGACCCCACCCACCCAATCTCACCTCCACCACTTACAGGCCCAGTGACTTTGGGTAAGTAACAGACCCACTTCTGAGCCTCATTTCGTTTACCTTTAAAATGGGGTTATACTCCTTGACTGATCAGTTTGTGTTGAAGACCCAAGAGGTGCTGTGTGTTTCTGAGTCCAGCAGTGGGGGGACGCTCAGTGGGTTGTATCTGCTGTTGTCCTGTGGCCATTGCTCTTCTTTTAACACTCCCTCAGGATTTGTTCTGTCACTTCAAGAAGGATGGAGGGGTGGGATAAGAACCCTGGTTCCTAAGCAATGGCCCTGAGGAAGTGGGAAAGGGCCTGTCCATGAAAACGATGGAGGAATAAGTGCTCTGATTCACACCTGGCCCCAGCTGGCCTCTCACTGCAGGGGTAGGGAGGTGCTGTGGTGAGTAAACGGGCACAGTGGGAGACCTGAGGGTCTAATGGGTCTGTTGTTCTGCCAAGGTCAGTGGATGAGACAGTGGGCCAGACCAGAGTCTGTGAGAGTCCTGACCTGCAGGGGTCGCCCCTCTAGGAGTTCTGCACTCACTACAAAACACAATGTTTTGTGGAAAAGAGGGAAGCTGCTGGGCTTGGGGCCTGGCTTGGTGTGTGGTGAAACCGAGTAGGCCTCTGAATTTAAAGCATGAGGCAGGGAGGAACACAGGGAACTGGCCCCAGAGCTCAAGAACACCCTTGGGCCAGAGGAGAGGAGTCAGGCCTAGACTAGAAAATTGTCTGTGGAGCAGCCCTGGCTGTTTGGTGGGTCGATGGGACCCCTGTGACTGGGCCTCCACACACCTCCAGAGCCAGATCCTCACTGCCCCACGCCCACCCGCTAGCTCAGGGCTCCACTACAGCCAAGGCTTACTGCCAGGTGAGCCTGTCCTGGAGTGCCCATCCACAATACACTCCTAGCCTCAGGCCCGCCACAGCACCCTGCTCACTCCACTGCCTGCATGCCTCTTATTGCATGGCATGGCTCTGTGCATATTTCTGAGTCTGCCTGTCATTTCTTTAAAGGTAGGGACAAGCTTGGGTTCATCCTTTTCTCTCCCTTCCCTGACATAGCTTTTGTGCTCTGGAAAGATCTGCTGAACTGGAGAGTGATGTTAGGGCAGGACGCCATGTGCAGGGAACCAGCAGGTGGGCAGAGGGGCAGTGTGGGGGCTCGCGGGAGGGCAGCCTGCCTGCAGCCATGACCTGGGTATGCTCTCGAGTGCCTGGGGGCCTGGTCTGAGGGGTAGCATGCACTGGGTGGACCTGCCTCAGTGGAGAGCCCTCTGGGAGCAGGTGGGGCATGGCTTTGCAGAGGCTGGCTGCCATAGCAACTCTACCATCACCATCACCACCAGGAAGGCAGGGGGCAGCTTAACACAAGGCAGGTGCTCAGAGCTTCATTCTACTCTTTGTTTATTGCCATCATTGGCAAAAATGTCAATAGCTGGACATCCGGAGCACTTGCTCTGTGTGTTCTTCCTACAGCATCTCATTGAGTCTCACCATGGTGCTGTGATAGAGGATTTATCATTTTCACTGTAAAGATAGCGAAAAGAGGGCCCAGTGGGGCTACTAACTAGAATTGCTGGGATTTCATCCTGGAGCTGTCTTACTCTAAGTTCAGGTGATTTTTCACTCTCTACCATCTTCCAACCCACTGTGTTGGGCAAGTTACATAAAGTCTGCAGCACCCTGTCCTGTAGCAGTCTTCCCATATTGGGGTGTGGAGGTGTTGGCTCCAGGCTCCACAGTGCTTCCTGTGTAACCTTTCTGGTTAACACTGGCCCAGGCAGGCAGGCTTCCAGGTCCTCCACCACACCCGGCATCTCTGCCTGAGCCACAGCATGCCAAGCTGCCTGCCTGTCCATGCCTTAGCCCTGGTTCACTGTGGCCTTATCCCGGTCCACTATACTTATTGTCAGGGATAGAAACTGGAAGTTGAGGAAGGAAGGATTGTTGCATTGACCCTTGAACCATGAACATGTTCAAACAAATATACAGAAAGTTTACCCAAGGGAAGGCTCTGTGTGTGTGTGTGTGTGTGTGTGTGTGTGTGTATAGGGAGGTATTTTCTACATTTCCTGGGCTCATACACTTGTGTTGAGACATTTTTTTAGCAAGTATTAGATGAAAGCTGGGAATTCCCCTAATTCAGATGCCTCCAGAAAACCTTTGGGCCTTGTGCTTTTTCTAAATGAAAGCACACCCACAAGAGGGTGTGTGAGACAGTTGTGCCCATTCTCAGAAAACCTGGGAGCACCTGCCTGAAGTGGCCATCACATAAATTGGGCAGGCAGCCCTGTGGGGAGTCCCAGGCCCCTCCTCTCCTGCTATCTCAG